CGCTTTCCCAAACGGAGAAATTATTCTTGATTATGGTGTGTACTGTTACATGAGGCACGTAGACAGCTTTTGCCACTGTCCTTTATGTTGCGTGTTTCTTTCTCGATGGTCCTTATTCCGGAATTTATTTCATATTCCTTTTGTTTTAGAATTTTGTGGATATTAGCGATATCCTTCATATTCAAATAGTTTTATATATATATAACACTCAAAATTCTGGCTTTGGATTGTAAAATAATTGCACCACACGAATAAAAAGGAAAACAAAATAACGTCAGTGTTTAACTCATTTTTAAATTAACTTGTTAAAAATTTTCTTTGGTTTTGGTTTCAATATTGATGTTACTAAGTATACTAGTGGCAAAGTTTTGAAACAGATATCAAGGATTTTAATGATACAATTCATATAAACTAGGATTAGGATGTATATATGTATAAATTAAAAACTGAATACTTTAAGCGCGATTTTGATTTATTTACAGAACATTTCAGGACATCGTCGAAAAGTAATGTAAATTTCCCTACAAAGTAAACAAAGTTAGTTACTGTGTGAATAAAACAGAATTTACAATAGTATCATTTACATGTTTCAACTCGATTTCATATGAAGAAATTACTAGCCAGCTGGATTCTTAAAGATCTTTACTTTGTTGTCGTTGAGGAGTTTGTTTGTTTTTTGTTGTTGTTCTTTTTACTCAGTAATCCTCTGTGGATAAAGTACTACAATAACTTCGGATTAAGGTTTTCACACCCTGCTGGGCCTTTAGTGAATTTTACTTAAAATCTACACATTAAGAAAAACATATAATTTAAGAATAATCAATCCAGTATTTTACTGGAAAACAGTTGTTCAGCTCTGAAACGAATCAAAACGAACAGGTGAAAATGGTGTAAAATTTTCAGTTCTTTATTAGCAAAATCCGTTTATTTTACTGTAGGATAAAAACAATATATATCATCATCTAAAGCTGTATAAGCATCGTTTTCAAATTCTAACCTCGTTTAAGTTATATAGTCAAAGTATAGACTACGCTGCCACGCATGGTCTGGTGGTTAGGGCACTCGACTTGCAACCTGAGGGTTGCAGGTTCGAACATATTCAGCCTCCCCCAGTGGCACAGCAGTACGGCTGCGGACTTACAATACTGGAAACCGGGTTTCGATACCCGTAGTGGGCAGACCACATTGTTTAGCTTTGTGCTTAACTTCAAACAAAACAAAAGACAAAACGAATACCTTCACTGAACAAACTGTTCAGCCGTGGTGACGTTTTAACGTGAGGATCAATTTTACAGCCAGTTTGTAAAGAATAGTCCAAGAATTGGCGGTGGTTGGTGTTGACTAGTTATCTTCCCTTTATCACTTTTAAACAAGAAACGGCTAACGCAGATAGCGCTCGAGTAGCTTTACGCAAAATTCAGTAAATAAACATAATATGTTATATTTATTCGTGGTTTATTTTTCATTTCTAATACCATATATAAAACTTAGACAGGGATATAATTCATGTTAGCTTGAACATCATGTATTTATTTATGAATGTATATCTCGTGTATTTTGGAAGGATTTGTTTATCTCTTCAGAAAACATGCAATGAAAAGAAATTCCCAACATCCATCACTTAAGATTGTGTAAGTCAGAAAAAAATGCTTTATCACCTTATTTTATGTATTATACTCATATAAAGTTCTGTCATTATGGACACATGTTTTGGCAAAACACTCATTTTTAAAAAGTTATAAAATGTCCAAAGTCTTATCGTCTGTAGAAAATGAAATTCAGGTCGAAAAGACAAACAACAGGAATTTACAAAACGTGACGTTTTGTAGTAGGTTGCAGTCCCTCCCTAAACTCTTAAATGTTATCCAGGAAATGTAGTCAAAAACTGTTAAATAATGTGATATGGATTTCAACTTAAAATTTACTTTCCTACCAGGGGAAAACTTAGGTTAGCTATGGTCAAGAAAATTTGTTGACAATGAAACATTAAGACCAGGATATAAAATTAATTGTAAAGTTCGTAAACAAATAAACTAATCGACTGCTTTTTTATAGATTAGGAGGATATTTGAAAGCTTCCTCTCATGTATTTCATGACGTGGTTAAATCGTTCCTTTAATTCTCCATAAGATGAACTCAGTGGCAAATAAAACAATATAAATCGAAGAAAAATGAAAGAAAATATTTTTATCAACGTCAATAAATGTTTAATGACGTAATGTCATTATTTATATTGTAATAGTTTGAATTGTTTGTACGATACCACTGATGGAATGCCACCTGGTGGTTTTAAAGAAACGTAACGTAGTATTTGTTTAAAAAGCGATTTTTATAAATATTTCCTTGTTTAACCATACATGAAAAAATTTTATTAAAATAAAAAGTCCAGATACGGGAAGAAATATACGTAAAACGTATGCATCGTGAAAAAATTTTAATACAATAATGTGTCATAAATTTTAACTGGAATCACAGCTATTATCCTTGCATTTACAAAAACTCTATTTCTGTAAATAAGGCATACTTAACTTCAATAAGCAAGATTTTTATTATGCCAGTTATTTTCATTTCTTTTCAACCTTCAAGAAACAGGTACACTTATTTATGATGTACATGTTAGTTTCGAAAGTTGTTCCAAATTACTGACAAGGTTTGAATCAGATTAAGTACATACATGTGTATAAAAAACTATGTATAATAAATTAGATATTTAAAAGAAAAGTTATACTGTTGAGTCTTCATATCTTATATATGTTTTAATTTATTTGTTATATTTGATAATTTGTGTTTCTATAAGGTTAAGGAGCTATAAAAGGATGCCAATAATAACGAAAGAGTAAAGCCGATATATCAACCATATTATAATCATTCATATTCTCTTACAACTAACTATCAAAGGACCCAGTTCTAGCCACGATAACGTTCCCCGTACCATTATTATAGCTTCAGATTCAAGAGTCTCTTGTAGTTTACTCCAAATCTTCCAGTTTTACATAGTAAAAGAAATAAATTAAGCTGTAAATATTACTGAACCGTGATGTCCTGTTTATACCTGAAATGAGCATTTCTCGGACTGATTTTAAATGCGATACAACATTTTTCCTAGTGTATATCGTTTGCTATGGTTGAAGATGTCAAATCCCGAGCAATATTAAAGAAATTTACCAATTGAGATAAAATCTGAAGTATATTACATTGCACAATCTCGTACAATCGTCTTTTTCCACGATCAGAAACCAGTAGTTGGAGCCCACATTTTTTTGTTGTTTTTTGTGTGTGTTTTTTTATGTTGCTACTGCTGTTGTTCAAATGTCCTTAAACAGCTAATGAAAGAAACAGCCTTTGAAAAAGTTGATTCTTCTAAAGAGAGGAAGAGATCCTTACTTATTTTACAGACTAGACGTGATTTGGATACATCTCTGCATTCATAAAGCTGATGGAACTACTTCACATATCACGTACTGAACTTATTTTGCATATTCAATTATATACAGTGTTTTACAAATTCAGTCAATCTATAAGAGCGACGCTAGATATTTTTACTTTAGTTGCTTAAAGTTCTATGTACCAATTTAGGACACAAGTTTTACTTATCGCATGAGAAATCTCACTTTGACAAACTATTTAAAACTATTTACTATTCAGTTTCGCGTTCGGAATTATTTTATTTTGTTTCATTAGAAGCAACTACTTCCTCTCGACTGACTGTGAACGTTTAAAGTAATTTATATGTATGACATGATAGACTTGAGCAACCACATCGGCATCTAATGTTAAATTTCCGAGTTCCTTGCACATATGATTCTTGAGAAAATGTTAAATCTGATGGTAGTTAACTCCTCTACCTCTCCGCTAAGACCGCTCTGTAATTTACGTCTTGATTTTAATTGTCTTTTCAATATATGCAAAGCTATTCGCTGGACCCGATTGCTTGATAGAAATTTAAATCATCAAGGATATGGAGATGAGTTATATTAGTCTCTTTTGTTCTCTGGCTGTTTGTTGAGTTAATATTTAAGGAATTATTACTTGCTTGTCACAAAAAAATCTAGAAAACTATTCTCCTGATTCGCCTTTCATATATGTTTTATAATTATACTTTCGCATGTGAGTGTAACTCTGGGGTTAGCGTGCCCAAATTGTGAATTTTATAATTCATGGTTCGCGACCCGTTGTCGTTAAAACGTGCGCCACACTATGGAGCCGTGGGAGCACTATAGAAATTACGGTCTAAGCCTACTATTCAATCAGATTAGAATTAGAACAGCCCAAGAGTGAGCAGTGGGTGTTATTGACTCGATGTCTTTCTTCCATTTAGTCAATCAGTTTCAGAGGAGGGGCAGCTATGTACAGATAATTTTTTGTGTATCATTGCGTAAAAATTTAGAAACAAAAATATACTTTATCAATATGTCTGTATTTTATCAATGTATTATTTTCTCTAATTTTTATAATATTTTTTGTTTGTTTGTTTGTAATTAAGCACAAAGCTACACAATGGGTTATCCGTTTTCTGCCCACCACGGGTATCGAAGCCCGGATTCTAACGTGGTAAGTCCGCAGACATACCTCTGTGCCACTGGGGGGGATATAGTATTTCTACCCGATTTTTTACTTACTTAGATGACTTTTACTACTATTTTAATTACAATCTATAATAGTTGTTCTATTTGTAGATATATATAACTTACCATTTTTAAAGCCATCCTCCATTTCGATAATGCAGTCGACATACATATATTCTTCTGTTTTTTAGATAATAAACATTTTGATTTAATTAACTGGAAAATCTTCAATATATAATAAATATTCGCTTCAAAATAAAATAAGAATTTAATTCAAATCTAACATTCGGTATGCGCTAAATTAATTTCAAGCTTTGAACCAGAACTATACCATTACTGGAACCTGGTTCTTGTTTCATGTATGCTAGTTAATTATATGTTTTGTCTTTACTTGGTGAGAAATCACATGTATAATATGGTTCTTCCTGAAAATAGGGTTGTGGACAATAACTACCACAAGTCCATTAAGCCTACATCACGTGAGCCCAGATTTAGTGGAAGTCGATTGCAGAGGAGAAGAAACTATTGCTTCGGTACGTTTGTTCTCTGAAATATGTATTGAAGAAAAAATAAGTTTTTGAAACGATGTTTTTAACCACACTTTTTGTTTGTTTTTGTTCTTTACATAATAAATGTGTTTTATGCTTAAATGGTTGTGAATTTTGTTAATGTTTTATATATAAAGGAGAAAATTATAAATTTAAGCAGTTACCATTCTTAATATTAAACTATTAACTGCGTGTTTATTGAAACGTACGTACGCATGGGTGATTAGTAATACCAAATCCTTAACACAAATTTAAATACAAGTCACAACTAAATCACTACAAACATGTCTTCAAAACTTGAGAAGCAAGGGCTTGCAGATGGGGAAGCAAGCATGAACCGTACCCATCCCAATAATATTATGCATACGAACTTGATCATTTCGGTGAATGCAATACTGTTTATTTCTACGCATATGATGTACGCGAGTGTGTTAATATGTCTTAGTTTTATATATGTGTGTGTTTTACGAGACTCCTCCCCTCATAGCGAACCCATGTAAATTTTTGCACACAGCTGTGTTAAGAAGAAATTGAAATATTTTCATCTTCAAAATGAAGAAAATGCATTATTACAAGTTAAAATATCCATTTCGTTCAACAAAATGTTATGTTCGTGAATTAACTAAGAAGGTTGAGTACGTTATATTAAAACGATTTTGAATATACAAATCAGCAAGTCACGTAATAACTACAGCCGACAGAAAGTCACAGTCGAATGGCATATATCAGAACTATATTTTAACATTATTTGGCGTTAGTAGGTAATGCGAAACCACTGAAAATGGCTCAATTTTTAGAAGGAATATAACAGCTAGTTCAACGAAAAATATTCATAAATTTATATCATAAATATATATTGAGATCGGGAATTTAGAATTTCCAATACAGGAATATACATTGTACTTAATATTATTGGAAAACAAATGAATAAAAATCAACTTGTGGAACAAGACTGTCCAGAAAAAGATATGGAGCAGATAAGATTTTGGTAAGCCAGGAGACGTGTTTCAGTTCTATTTCTTGTTGCAACATTGGTATTTTGAAGCTTTTTATTGCTCTGGCTATTATGATGTTAATGTGGTTAGTGACATTGAGTTGTATGTCAAAAATTACCCCCTGGTAGTTTAGTGTTCCTTCCAAAGACATAGCAGTGCTCGCAAAGAGTGATGATAGTTTTCCTCATTGGTGGGTTTGTTTCGAAGAATATGGTTGTGGTATTAGCAGATTTTAGGACAAGTTCTTGTATCGTTGCACCACTTGCTCAACATGCTAAGAGATGATTGCATCTTGCCTTCGATTTCCTCTTTGCTAAAGCCTATACTGTACACCAGAGTGTCGCCAACAAATGTTAGAACACGACATCTGATTGGACTGTTAAGATGGGCTAGATCCATGGTGTCGATTTTTAAGAGGGCTGACAAGAGTGATAATCCTTAAAGCAGACCAGTATTGATGGTGATCTAGTCTGATTGCTTGCTTCCATTCTTTATGATGCATATTCTTATAGTTAGTGAACCTAAGACCCATTCCGAGCATTTTGTCGATAATAATGGGCAGCTGAACTCTGTTATAGGCACCTATCAGATCTAAATCTATTGTCAAGGTGTTGTGACTAGCTTCAAAACCTTCCCGTGTGTCAACTACGAATTTGCCAGCGTTGATTAAAGTTTCTCTTTCACCAAATAGCCATCCAACGATGAGGGAAGCAGTGGTTCAATCTGATAGGCAACATTTCTCTAGGATCTTGTCAATAATGTTTTCTAGAATGATGATTCGATGGCCTTTAAGAATAAAGTGACCCTTCATGGGTTAGGAGTAAAATTTTGATAAAGGTATCAGTTTGTATTTCAGGGATACTGTTGTCTAACTATGTTTAGCTCTAACTTCAACAGGTTAGCTTCCACAAATTTTTTTAAAGGTGAAGATTCTTACACCATCAGGATTTTACTATAAAAAAGGGTTGTAGAATCTAACATAAATGTCAAAATGTCTGTATTTTTTCCAGTAAAATCTTTTTTACGGAGTTAATATTAATTGACATTGTAGGGAATTTACAAAAAAAAAGCCTTTTTCAGGGTTTTCTTTTTAAACGTTTAGAGAAATACTCGGATTCCTCGTCATATATATTGTGTATTGTAAGGAATCTTCAAACACTCTGCTTGACTATACTCCGGTAAATATCTAACTGAAAATACCTTTGAAAATAAAAAGCCTCGGTGGCTCAACGGTAAGTCTGGGTCTTATAATATTAAAAATCGGGAATGGTCACTAAAGCTTCGAACTGGACCATTTTGTATAAACGTTTCTCTTGGTTATCATTTGCACAAAAAATAAAGATTGCTCATATTACACACTGAAATATCTCTTCAAGTTTCTTTAAAATTCTGTATCGCATAATCTGCTCATCAAAGTTAATCTTTCTCTTTTCTCTTGCTATACGTGAGTAAAGAGCAAAATTCTTAATAAATTATTGTTATTGAAGATATAATAATTGTGTAGCATTCTTAATGGACGTAGTTAATATGGCAGTATCATTAATTTATGTTTCATTCACAGCAAACAAAAGTATCTACAAATGTAACACAAAAAAACGTTAAAAACGATATGTGTGGCTTTTTAGAGTAAAAAATGAAAACAATATGCTTTATAATATCTTTTAGTCTTTGAACATTTTATCTGATTCTTATTTCAGGGGACATGGATTAGATCTCGTAACATCACCATGCACTCTGATGCCGGATTCACTCTTTATGCCGATAATGCAACATCCAGACGTAATTCGTGTTGTTCACTATGCATTCCAAATGTGATGAGTGATTCTAATGTGTGTTCGCCAGGACAAGGAAAAAACGAGGGGTACATTTTGCAAATTCGACTTTATATTTCGAGTAAGAAACTTAAGTATTTTCCTATACATTAACAAAAAACGCCATCGATTTCGGTTACTTGATACAATGTCGTGTTATGCTTTGGGTGTTGACATTTTAGTTGATTGAATGTTCGGCGTTTCCAAAAACAATTAGTTATGTTTTCCAATAATGGCATTTACCTGACCAAACTGAACAGTTGAGTTTCCTTAAGCAGTTCAAGCAGATTCTTAAACATTATTCAAGCTTATATTAATATTTAATATATAAAAACAAGAGAACAAATTTATAGTAAACTGTAACTTTTTTTTAAAAGAAAACATATTCGTTAATAATCTATGGATGAAATAGTAAAGTCGTTTTTTTTTGTTTTTGTGAAAGTCGTTCGTCATGATATTTCTTCCTTAATTATTAAATATTCAACAAAACTTTCAAGTACTTTTCTGATAGGAGAGTTGCCTTAGTAAAATTTCCATATAGTGACTGCAGCAACAATTGGTTTGTTTGTTTGTTTGTTTGTTATTAAGCACAAAACTATACAAAGGGCTATTCGTGCTCTGCCCACCACGGGTATCGAAACCCGGTTTCTAGCGGTGTAAGTCCTACCGCTGTGCCACTGGGGGGGGCGCAACAATTGGAAACTACTGTACATAGATACTTCGTTAGTTGCTCAGTATACTCAAAAATAAGTAACTTAAAAACAAAAATAAGAACTATTATTTTGGTTCATTCTCTTTATAAATGACGCCAGTTACTAAAAATTGTTTCATTTTTCCTTATACGTATGTCTATAGCTTTCCCATTTAGAGTTACTGTTTTATTTATTGTTTGTGTATTTATTTCATTTCAATTTAACTCTAAGTACATTTTAAGATACTTTAATACATTCTTTGTTAAATTTTGTTATATTTTTTGTCTCAACTATCACTAAGTTCTATTACCATGAGTCAATTTATCCATTTGATTATTTTTTATTCCTCTTGTAGTTTAGGCTATTGGTAAAATCTAAATATTAGATTCACTTTATAATTCTGACTTAAATTATTCAAATGTTAAATAACTTGATGACTGTTAAAAGAAATGATTAAACAAATGAGTCAAAAACTAAAATACCTTATTATTTATAAGAATAATTTTAATTTTTTTACATTTTCACATCTTTATTTTCAGTTCCAGCAAAACGTAGACATGTGAAGAAAACAAATAGAGTAGCTATATGCCAGGGAGGTGACGTTCACTTGCTCTGCAATGTAAACAGTTCATCACGGACGTCCATCGCATGGCGAAGAACGTGGGATAATGTTTTGTTTAAGGATGAATCTTTGGTGATTTCTAATGTTCAAAGGGAAGATGAAGGAATTTACTTATGTGAAGCAACTGATGAAAACGGCCATGTTGTAAAAAGTGACGTCATGCTACTTGTTGAATGTAAGTCAAGGTTTTGATTATCCTAAAAACTGGCTAAGAAAGCAAGCCTTATTTTCTTTTTTTTTGTGAAACCTGTGCTTTGCTTTAAGATAATAACATCGCAGTCGTCAGTTCAGTCTTAAGTTCAGCTTAAGAAGTATAACGTTATATTTATTTTTACATTGACATCCTGGTTCAGAAAAGTAAAATGGTATTTCTGTTAAAATGTCAATCCTGGCTAAGAAAACCGACGTTAAATTTATGTTAAAATGTATGGGTAAGGTTATTAGTAAAATATTCTAAATATTAAATTCCTTATTCAATGTATGTTTTAGTTTTAAAAATACGTAATGTTCCTCGTTAAATGCATGTTTTAATTTGTTTTAAATGCATCCTTTCTTATTAAACGTATAATTTAGTTTAAAAAGGTGATGTTACGTTTCTTGTTAAGTTTATGTTCTAGTTTTAAAAAGTTACCTCATGTTTCTTTTATATTAAGATATAAGAGCGAAGTTTTCTTCCACACAGTTTCCTTATTTAGTTCACAAGTTCAGTAACCGTAAACAGAAATATCTGAAGACTGTCGCTGGAATGGTGACCAATAGTTTCTTAACTGTTCTTTGTTTGTTAGTTGTGACAAAACTACTAAGGCTCTCTGCCGCCGTCTCCAATTTTGACTGCCACAACTCTTGAATTATTTCTTACAAACGAATAGTAGGATTGACCGTCGCATTATAACTCTTCCACGGGCTCCCCGGTGACTCAGTGGTAAGCCTGAGGGCTCATAGCACAAAATTTCGGGTTCCGATACCCGCGGGGAGCAGAGCGCAAGTTAGCCTATTGCGCAAACAAACATCCCCAAGTTGAAATGGCGAACATGTTTGGCGCCGGGTTAAGATACATGTCAGGCCAGATCTTCTTAATTAAATAAAAATAATAATCATATACAGGAAGAAATATTCGCTCTTACTTCTTAGTATTCAAACACATCATCTTACATTATTATAAGTCATGTTAAATGTACATTCTAGTCAGAGAAAAATAACTTAGCATCCTATGTAATTCTGAACTATGAACAATTACGGTATAAAGAAACTGTATATACAAGGTAAGAGAAATTGTATTTACTGTTCAATAACTGTTCCAGTAAAGAGAAACTGTATTATATTTCTTGTTCATGTAAATACTAATTATTAAAAAAAAATTGTTTAAACATTCTGTTAATATGTGCAACCTAGTTAGAAATAGTTATGCTTATTGTAGTAATTTGTGAGACGTTACATTACAATAAAATTGATAATAATTTGAATAACACCCTAGATTTCTGGCACAGGACTGTTCGTATAGAAAAGGTACTAATATTACCAAAACTTCTCACGTGCCTCATTATTAATACAGCTGTTACAATTAATAATTTTTTCAGGCTTTCAACAGAAAAAAGTATTTCGATGAAAAAATGACAAGACAAATTAAAAACAGAAAATATGAATCTGCGTCTCTTTTCCCAAGTAAAAATCTGTGAAAAGAAAACTCGATTAAACGTTTAATAAAGTTTGAAATTACAATATTTGAATAGAACGTTATTTCTAGCTGTATACAAAGACCATTAGAATGAGGTAAAATGACAATTTGCGGGTGATGAAATGTACCTTTATTTAAAACAACGGTGCTATTTTGTGTGACAACAACTCCCAATAAGTTTGTTTGTTTGTTTTTAATTTCGTGCAAAGCTACACTAGGGCTATCTGCGCTAGCCGTCCCTAATTCAACAGTGTAAGACTAGAGGGAAGGCAGCTAGTCCTCACCACCCACCGCCAACTCTTGGGCTACTCTTTTACCAACGAATAGTGGGATTGACCGTCACATTATAACACCCCCACGGCTGAAAGGGTGAGCATGTTGGATGTGACGGGGATTTGAACCCGCGACCCTCAGATTACGATTCGAGTGCCCTAACCACTTGGCCATGCCGAGCCTCCCAATAAGTGAAACTTTATTACGCACAAATTTCTATCATACCTTAAAACCCATGCAGTTAACTTGGCAAATCAAAGACTAGAGTCAAATCTACGACATATCCTTCAAATAGCCTTGTTCTTCGGTGGCTTAACAATAAGTCAGTGAGTTATAACGCTAAAAACCAGTTTTAATTACCCACGGTGGGCAGAGCACAGATAACCCATGGTGTCGCTTTGTGCTTTACAAAAAAATAAATAGCTTAATGAATTAACGAGCGTTTGTACTTTTAAACTGAGTTTGAAAGAAATAAATTACAAAGTAAAATGATGGCTTGTGGAAAGTTTACAACATAAGCTATAAACGCGACAAACACAGTTTTCGTTCTTTGGAAATCCGTTGTCATGTTTTCATCAAATGTTAGAATTATGAGCTAGTACACAAATTTTAAAATAATGTAGTGGCAGCACAAAAACAAAAAAAAAATTCACTCCATTTGCAGTAGGTTTCCGACAAAGTGAGTTTAATCCGCCTTCTTGTTAAGTAATTTTACAAATGCTATCAATTATCAAATGATACTTTACTAACTTAGTTATGTACCATAAGACTTAAAGTAACTTTTAACTTTCTTGGGTATGGAAGCACATTATATAATAATAAGTTGCTAAACAAGATTTATAAGCATAATGAGTGATTTGTTCTACATACTATGTGTTTGACAGAACATTGGTCTGTCTTCTTCAGGTAGCTTTATATCTGAAAAAAAAAAACAGACCAATGTTCTGTCTAATCATGCAGTATCTTCCCAAAAAATAAATCACTTCATTATGCTTATAAATCATGTTTGGCAACTGATTATTAACGTTAAGTTTCGTGATAAATGTGCTTCTCAAATAGTTTGATTGAGTTTAACTCAAAGCTACACAATGGGCTCTTTGTGTTGTGCCACTGCAAGTATTGAATCCGATTATTTGCCGATGAGCTACTGGGTGGTTGGGTGGGGTCATTAGTATGCCTCTTAAGTTATTACTTGCTCAACATCTCACACTAAGAACTCGGAATACACAATGTAAGGAAACAGTACCTAACTCCAACTTAATCAAGCTTAGTTCTATATAAACTACTTTTTACAAGTGTTAGGCAAGAAATATCCTAATATTTCCAAACAAATTTCATACATTATTAATAATTGAAACTAGTATATGAAGCAACAAAATAAAAACTTTTTTTATGATGTTTAATATGAAAAAAACATTTTTCGCAGCGCGTCTTTGTAGTCAGATTGAGATTTTTCAAGTCCATTTATGTTGATTTGGTCAAGTCTTTAAGAAAACTGGTCAGTTTTACAGTATTTGAGGCTAATTTACAGAATATCCAATAATAAAATACGAATTGTCCCTGTGGTATAGCTGAGTATTTCGGAGCTAACAAGTCGAGATCGTCACCGTGCGATACCACAAAACATTCACCCACTTTAAGATGTGAGTGCGTTATAAGAATAACAGTCAATCTGTTGGCATGGAAAAATGGGTAGCAATTATCTACTGTCTGGCTAGCTTTCCACTGGTCAGTAGCTCAAAATTAGAGACGGTAGCAAGTAGCCTTAGTAGCTTTGCATAAATACAGTCCCCCAGTGGCACAGTGGTATGTCTACGGACTTAAACTGCTAGAAACCGGATTTCGATACCCGTGTTGGCCAGAGCACAGATAGCCCTTTGTGTAGCTTTGTGCTTAATAATAATAAACAAACAAACAAGCATAAATACTAAATATTATTTACTGAAAACTTAATTTTGTAAACTTTCGTAATTAACTGTGTGTTTTCCAGTCTGTATTCTTATCGTTTTACATTCACAATTCTTCTTATTTCGTCAGTTTTTTGATGAAAAAAAAAGCCATCCTAAAAAATTTCTTATTAAAAAGAAAACAAGTTTCCCTGCAATATAAATATTTTTCAGAACTTCCCGGAAGTAACATTTCCAACCAAGATACTGATATTTCACGAAACATTTCTTTATATTCAATATCTGTTAAAGCCAGAGCCTGTTTTATCTTATTCAGAAACCAAAATGTAATCAATCATTCGTATAATATTGAAATTTTCTAATGAAAGGTGACTTACAATTTTTAACAATTTACATTAAAAATGGCTAGGACAGATGCATGTTTCAGATAATTAAACGTCCCCTGTTGGCTCAGTGCTAAATTTAAAGCCTTATAACACTGAAATATGGAGTTCGATTCCTCGCGGGGAACATAGCGCAGATAGTAAATTATGTAGGCGTTTCCTTTAAACAAACAAACGTATAAGTAAACCCTGATGGCCCGGCATGGCCAGGTGGATAAGGCGCTCGACTCACAATCTGAGGGTCGCGGGTTCGAATCCGCATCCC